CAAATTCTGAAAAGTACTTTTACATATAAGATTTTTTGTCTCATTTTTTTAAATAATTAAAGCACTATGTATATTTTAAAATTTATTTAGCGTATTTGGCAAATATTGATTAGTTTTTGAGAAAAAAATTAAAGCACATTTTTTGAGAAATGACCTAAGGTGCCCCATACTTGGGACACCATGGGTCTGTCACTGAAGCACCATGGGTCACACACGCCACCAAGCTTGATAATAGATAGATAGCTTGATAATAGCTTGATGATATATGTTATTTTTGATTAAAGAAAACATGTTAGAAGTTAGTTTTTCTTCAAAAAGAAGGTGCCGCAGCATTGGGTGTCCCATGGTGCCCTAAATGCACACTTAATATAGAAAACGGTGAAACGTACGTAATAAAAAAAAATAAATAATACGTGATTATCTGTAGTGTAGTGTAGTAAAATGACAAAAGATGCTAGAAAGTTACATCTAATTTTTATTACATGTATATTTTACTACAAAAACATCAATATTAAAACATTTCTAAATGGTTAAAAAGTTATTTACGCATCACGAAAACCATTTATGCGCATGTCACGTGCGTCTCGAGACTACGGACTTTAATGACTGTCACCTAGATATGAAGTATGGGCAACAAAATAACTGTCACATGATACTAGTTGAATCTACCTAAACATTCTGGATTACTCTAAACAGTCAATGACCCATGGTACCCCGTGGTTCATGGTGCCCCCCATACAGCATGGAATATGCAAGAAATGTGCTATAAACAATCTATAAATATTTTAATATTCCACGGGTCATTCAGAATATTCTGTAGAAATTCTATAAATATTCCATGAAATTTTGTCTATTCGGAATATGCATAGAATATTCTGCAAATATTCTAATAAATATAATACATTTAAAAAATGTATAGAATGTTCTATAAATATTTTAACAAATATAGAATATTTGGAATATATGTCATATATCCAATTCAAAATTTTATTACTCTTTTTAAACTGAATTTGTTTCTTAAAATGATTTTTGAAAAATTATATATTTGCGCTGGTTATCACATATGTAGACTATATATAACGCTTACATCAAATTAAGAAGTAGTCTACCACGTAAGGTAGTTGGCTCACGATGCAGAGGTCCCGAGGTCCCGAGTTCAAATCCCACGAAGGTAAGTGTGTTTTTCAAATACGAGAAAATATTTATAATTATAGACTGCATCTTAAGAAACAAATTTAGTTAAAAAATAGTAATAAAATTTTGGAATAAATAATTTTTTTTATGTCGGGTGAATATTAAATGTATACAGAATATGCGATATCCCATTTTTAATGTTCCTAAAATAATCTATAAATGTTCTATAAATATATTTTGTATATATAAAAAAATTATGGATTATGGGGAAATATTTATAAAACATTTGTAGATTATTCGAGAATATTTACAGAAACTAAGGATATTCAAAGCGGGACACGTTCTTTGCACATTTATAGATCATTCATAGAAAATTCATGAATATTCTAAAGAATATTTATAGAACATTCATGGAATATTTCATGCTAGATGGGCCCGGTTTCCCCTATATGTATAAAATGTGTATACCAATATTTATAATTTATATAAACATTTAATTAAAAACGCTTGCCCATCTCTAATTATATAAACACTTAATTAGAAACATTTGCCCATCTTTTTGTAAATTGGTCTTTATTTCTTTACTTTTTGAATGTAGATAGTAGACACTTTAAGGTAGTTGTCTCACGACCATACAATCCAAAATTTTATACTTTAAATCAATGTCAAAATATCCGATTACCTACGGTTACAGGCTGAAAACTTTTGCATAGTTTTGTCCCCCCACACACAGAATAAAAGACTATAATATTCTTTTATTTTTCTTGTCCAGTCACGGCAGTCACTTCTTTACGTCGAACAATTGTGAAAATCGAGGTCTACTATATTATTGTATTTTTAAATCTAAACCATCAATAATCTTGATTTTTTTACTAATATTCCTAAAGTATCCTATTACAATCCGTTTTTTGTCACTCTCTTGTTGTTTGTTCTATTTATTAACATTCAAAATATAAGATTTTTATATGCTTTATTGTGTATGCAATGCATGAAAAAAGTGCAATTTTTGATAGCGATTATATCATGTCCGGGACGGTCAATTACTTTTAAGTTGTACAGATGTGTAGATACCACATTTATTAAATATAGTAAAATTTTCAAATTTTTCTTGTTAATTGCGATTCGCGAGACAACTACCTAGTACATTGATATATTATCGATGAACATGCTAAATATTTTTACAATTTCGGTAGAAAGTGTAAAGTGTTTTTAATATCTATTTCAAGAACTATTTAAACATATACTGATAATTCGAGTTATTTAGCTGTCCAATATTCTTAAGACATTGGAACTTTCATGTATACACAAAGAATTTAAAAAGGTAGAGTACCTACTAATGCAAAAGCATATTCTTGAGACCAAATCAAGTCAAAAAGTCCTTTACCACATTTTGCAACGCTTATTGCAACAGCATATTTTTGAGACCAAATCAAGTTAAAAAGTCCTTAAGCACTTTTCCCTGCGACAATTATCGAGATATCGTAAGCTAAATATTGAAAAAGTAACCAAGTTTTCTTGGAATATCTCAAAAAGTATTAGGTGAATAAAAAAAATTTTCCGACAAAAGTTGTTTAAATTAATTAGTAGAAAAAGATAATACAACAAAAACCACTTATGGTCAAACTAATATTGCCATTAAATGCGTCTTTTTAAGCCATACGACTTTTATCTGAAGTATTTTTTTCTAAAATTTATTATTTTCGAGATATTTTATTGGTCCGATACTTTTTCCTCATCCTGTATTATTATTTAATTATCCAATTAATTATTTAATTATCTAATTTATTAAATTTATATTTTTTAATATCAGTATTAAGTTAGAAAACTCAAAGAAGTAACTATTTTTTATCTTTTATTACGTCACACAATATATTCTCTGCGATAATACAATTGTCGGAGATTTATATGATGCAAGTGAGCGCGCGCAAGTGCTCCAACTATTTCCAACAGCATTCAACAGTGTTGAAAATAATTAAAAAATAAACACAATCTTGGATGGACTAATAATAAAACATTTTAAATTTAGTAAGGTTTTCATAATATCGTATTAGATTCTAAACTACAAACAAAAGAAATTTTTTATTGACTCATGCAAATCAGATTTTTATATTAAAGATATATTATTAATATTATTATATATTTATATTAAATATCCGTTAACTTTTAAACTTTTAAATTGTTAGCGCTGTTAAGCTGTTGTTTGTTAAAATTATATTTATTTCTTATTGGCTTATGACCGCTATGATCTCTTATTATCTATGTTGTCGCTTTCTATTGCGAAGAAACAGCGCTTTTAACAAAGTGCCCTTTACCATTTGTCATATTTGTGCTGACTATGAAACAATAGACGTGCTAGCTGTGATGGTGAAATAAGAAATTAAATAGTCTGCAATTATACAAATTTTCACGACATATTATACACTGAGTAAGATACAAAACTTTGTGTTATATATACTGCACATATATTAGATTTAGTAATGTTTGATCAACGTTTAAATGTATGTCTTATGTTTGTTTCACTTTCGGCATTAATGTACATAATCGAAATAGCTTTTAAAGTATTATAAAAATTAAGTTCGTACTATCATTATAATATGTACTGCGCGTACCTTATATTTTTGTACGTTATCAACATACTAATTCAAATAGGAAATTACATATATGTATAATGTATCATATCAAGAAATTACCTTAAAAATAAACAACAAAACGCGATTATGGACTTGGTTTCTGTAGAATTTACATGAAATGTGATATTGTGCATTAATATTAACAGTTTTTTACACAGTTGAATACGTTATACTTATTACGGAAGATAATAGCTATCACTTTTCTGATATATTATTCTAAATAGTATCATTAATATAATCAAACATAGTCTCTTTTAAATACTCTTTTAAAAATACTCTTATAACTTAACAGTTTCTTAATTGTTACATGTGCTTTATATAGTTATTAATAGCTGTGCTTTTAAATTCAAATTGAGAATTATGGAGAATTTATTAAGAAACGGCGATGCTTCAACTGCAAATATTCCTTTAGAAACGATAGACTTGCCGTTTACTACATTTTCGGAAATCGCAACAAGTATGTATATAATGTTCATAATTTAATTTAGACGTATAATATTGTTGCCTCTATCACTATGTAATGTGATGTAACAGTTCTGCAAAATGGAATGAATCTCGCTTTCCGAGAGGTAAATGTCGATATAAGTGCCTGCCCCTGTCTAACCAGAGAACCATTCAATCTTGCCGGAACAGGTAAGAAATCTAAGGAACATTCGTAATATTTCACTAAGAAGACAAATTTCCTTAAAATTTTACAGGTTTAAACGGCAATCCATCAATAATACAAGTTGGTGATTATACGTCCTTTATTCCAACCTCGCGTATTGATACCGCAAAATGGAATATTAAGGAAATGTTATCATCAATCTGCTACGATTCTTTCATCATCGGATCTGGTTACGCTGCGCAGCCATACATGCCTTGTAACGGACATGTATGTATTATAAATACTTTTATGTGCAAAAGTATAATAATATAATTTTTTAAATACTATTGTACTGGCAGAATAAGAAGAGACAGTAATTAAATTGTGCGATAAACTGCGTAGATATTAATTTAAATGATTTATTGTTTTTGTCTTTTATCGTTGTTTTAATTCTATGATAGTATAGCATAATTAATATAATTATAATTTGTTTGTACTTGCTTTACTCTTATCTCTTTATGTTTATTTTTTATAAGCCTGACTGTACTGTTGTAGCTCATTATATGAACGCGATGTATATAGCACCTAATATCACGAATGCGAGCCGCATCGTCTTCGCAGACTCAAGTAACGGACAGAGAAGGATAGAAATGTTAACTGAACCCAACCAAATGATGTGCTCCTTCATGGGCAATTTTTTTGTCAGCGAGGGCAGGCAGGGCAATGTTCTCAGAGTGCTCGCCAAGGGTCGCGTACCCGATTTAGATATTATATCAATAATGCAAAACATTTTTTGCGGACGCTTCTATGACGAGGGTCGTCTTATTGGTAATAAGCATTCTAATCTAGTTATGATTAATTTAAAAAATAGATAAAAAGATGTTTATATTATATATCCTATGTTTCGTCTTGCAGCCTTAGGTGGCGTTCTTAGGATGAGGAATGGACGAGTGGCACAAAACGTTATGGCAGAACAATATCCGCCGCGGGTGTTATCATTTATCGATCTCGCTAGATCGTTTCAATGTCACGACATAGAACTTGAATCAGATCTAATAGCTGTTGGTACAATTATTAACACAGAACCGGAAATATTGTCCGAAGAACTGCGTTATGGTTCTGTAAGTAATTTATTATGGTATGATAGTGCAAGTGGATAACAGTGACCATTTATCTTCAAATTACTGTTTTGATTTACCAGCAAAAACTATTATTAATTATAAATCTCAATTTCTTATTTATTAATTCGTGTAATTGTATCTATCTGCTTATGTAAAGAAATAACCACTTGTAATTATTAAATTAAAGTAAATTAAATTAATAAATTCTAATTTTACTCATTTACTTAAACGTTAATCATGACCGTGATTACAATCTAAATTTAAATTTCTGTAAAAACATTATAAAATATTTATATGATTTTCAGCCTCTGCCGAAGAGGCATCATCAATTCCACAGTTTTTCCAATTACGGAGCAGGCGGGCAGTTTGTTAACGATATCACAAAGGACACGATCGAGTATGAAGGATATTTCAATTTAGCGAGCAAAAATTATATGTGGGATTGATGGTCTCTCTATTCTTAAACTAGTTTCTTATATGTTTTTATATGCAAACAGAAGTTTACGTAATACAAAGAATTGACTTGCTAAAGTACATAAAAATTTATACAAATCTGAAAATAATGTTCGATTATGCGAATAATTCTAATTATATACATTCAAACTAGTTGCAAAAATGTCTAAACTTTTTGCAGCATGCTTGAGTGTCACATAATTATTTTCAGATGTATGTCTTCTTGATTTTGTGACGAAGATATTGTGTCGGATTATAATATTTTATAAGTTTCTTGACGCATTTTTGATATAATTAATAAAATTTTTAATATTCTTCAAGAAACGCTTCAGCAATCAAAGACAAAAAATCATGATTTTAAAATATAAAATTAATCTACATTTTCTTGAAACGACAGTTGATTATGACACAGTTTTTCTAAGCAAAAATGATTTAAATCCCAATGTTTTGATACAACAGAACAAGAATTCTTGCAGTGTTATTTTGAAATAAGCTAAAAAATTACTTGAAAAATGATAAGATTAAAAGATTAAATCTAAAGAATAAAGAAATAATCTAAACATTATTTTTTATTATTTTATTACGTAATGCTAAATATATAAAACTTATTTTTAATAAAAAATTTTTGAATTGAAGCATTACATTTTATTTATAATTATTTTATGATTTATTTTGTATTATTATTATATAATATAATATTTCATTTGAATATATTATACATAACTCATATTATATCTTGCCTAATTTTATTTAAGTTTTTTTGCTTGTTTCTTTATAGCATGTTTTTAAAGGTTGAGCAAACATTTTTGCTACATTTTCTTGATGACATTAGAATTCTAAAAATTTTGAGTTATTTTTAATATTCATGATTAAATAAAACTGAAAAAATTCTCGTAATTCTTTGTTCGCTGAATCAAAATATTTTAAAATTATTACGAGATATTTTTCTTGTAATTTTATGATTTTTTCAGAGTTTTTTTAGTATTAACTTTAAGAATTATATATATAAAGATATTATTAAATCGCTTATTTTATAAAAGTATCTATAATTTTATTCTACTTCTCTATCGACTTGTATATTGTATTTCGTAAAGAAACGTTACGCATTTGTCCATTTTTTATTATTATTAAAACTGTAAAATAGAAATTGTATATTCATATTGGGTGACTCAGTCTATCCATTAATAACATGAGTCTATCCATTTATCTCAAATAAACTTATTAAATAAAATTTTCTCTCTGTTTTTTGTCAATAATAAAAATCTTTATGTAAAAATGAATACATATAGTACATATAAATAGGTACATATATATATTATATATATGTATAGTCTTATAATAAATTTTACATTTGTAATTTCTTATAAATGTTGCCATTTCAAAGTTTTTGTAAAATATCACAAATATATGGACTTTGTTGCATAGGTATATTTATATATTTATAAGTATGCACTCGTATATATATGAATATAATAGTCAAACAACCCCGACTATGGGAGGTATAACCCCGTGTGGAAGATATAAGACAAATATTCAATTATTTTAATTATTATCAAATTAAGTTACTTTAAACATTTAATTTAATAGCCTACGTCTTACCGTAACGTATAAACGCAACAATGATATTTCTTTTATGTATTTTATTAAAAATCACAAACTAAAAACCTGATCTATTAACCCCGGTTTCCTCTATACCCAGGTAGCACATATACGTTTCAGAAATGTTTTATAAGTGTTTTTCCGAAACGTTTTATAACCGATTTCTAGAAACGTTTCTCATGAATTAAAATGTCCATTCGAAAAACGTTCGATGGAACGTTTCTTTTCCGATAAAATAACGTTTAAAAAACTATTATAAAATAGTTATTTGTGTAACAAGTGCGGGAAGTTGAGAATTGGACACGAGTGCGATCACCCGCACGAGTGTCCAATTCTCATCCCGCACGTGTTACACACCCTATTTTATATTACAAAGTGCGTGGAAAGTGGCCCATTATTGCGCGCGCGTCATCTGTGCGACGGATGGCCGATTCCATACACGACTCAAAACAGTGCGGTAATGTTTACATTACCGCACAGTTTCGAAGAAACATATACATAATATATTAGTACTTACTTACATAATACAAAATACTTACCATAAAGTAGCTAGGTCGATAATACGAATGTTGACAAACTGCTTTGTATTAACAATGACAAAACTAAATACCTATACTGGTTTTATTATAGCTGCATGCACTGGTGTAATTAGAAGATCATTTTTCCTTCTTAGGTTAAAAAGTTTACTTGAAAAGTTTCAAAGTTTGCAAGTTAATAATAAAAAATTAAATATTTGTTTCTTCGTTATAATAGAGAATGAAATAGATATACAACAAAGTTTGTAAAAAAATTAATAAGATTTTATTTTATATCTATATGACATATATCAATATTTTCAAAATAAAGCGGTATTGTATTTTTCAGGTTTCTGCTGTTATAAAATACAGACCATCACATAGTAGCAGGAAATCTTTAATGAATAATTAAATCTTATCGCATAATAGTTAGCAATTGGTTATACGTATAGTGGATATTTATGTATTAAGAATAGAAGATTCTTTGAGTATTCTAAGTACATATAAAGCATTGACTCATGACATAGACAATATTTGATTTTTAAGCAAAAAATTTTTAACATATGTATATATATATTTGCTATATTATACATATAAATTTCTTTATTGTCTTTATTGATGACCGATTAAAAATATTTAGTTATTTTCAACATGTATTAAATTCAATGTTTTATAATAGCTGAAAACGCGATTAATATTATACACGAGTATTTGTATCAATTATTCCTTACTAATTATTTTGACCTAATATACAATTATCTAATAATGGTACTGTTATAAAATGATTTCCAGCAATATTTAGTGGAGGAAATGTAGAACCTTAGAACTGAAAAAATGTTGCAACAAATCCGCTACTACTCATAATATTCAATGTTACTTTGAACACGAATCTTTTTTCCTGCCCCTTTGGTATCCGGTGGATTGACAATAAAATTCTTCAGACAGCGTAATATGCGCAGCAATTGTGACTCGCGAAATCTATTGTAAAGAGATTAATAATATTATCACTTTTCCCATTTGAAATATATCTCCATAATCTAGCGGCATAATCAGGAATGTGAACATGAAATACAGTGAGCGTCATTCCACTCTGCATTATAAATATCGCATTAATGCTGGGGGGCCATATATTTACAAATACATACAAAAACACATAATAGTCTTGTACGATTCAACAGTAGACTATTTGCAATTTCATTCCTCGTGCCCCATTTACCAATTTTCGCGCGTCACTTTGACACTATGATGAATTCGGCCCAAAAATCGCAAACAACTATGTATGTTGCACTCGCGATTCACCGCAAGGAGAGCCGAATAATTTTCTATCAGTATCGACAATTACGCGGTGTTCCTCTGTAACCAATCGCGAATCGTCGCATGATTGTTGTCAATCCATCGTATGTTGGATTCCGCACGCTCCACCGCTTGCTGTATGGTTCGCGTTGCTGTACCAAGTTCGTCCAGATGTTCCTTTGCAAACTCTACCAGCTAAAAAAGTAACATGAAAAGTAAATATGTTGCAGAATTATCTTTTGAAAGAGTATAACGAGATTTTTATGGAAATTGATTACATATTTTTATTTATTTATTGAATTTGCCAAGAAGAACTTAACATTTGCGTAATGTTTTCTATTTAAATGTTTTATTTTTAAGTTTGTTTTAAATTATCTCAAAAATATATTCATACTATTACTTCTCAACTTACATCTTTCAATTCGTATCTTGTACTCATTCCTCTTGTTGCTGATTTTACAATGTTATTGACAGTTGATAGCGACGTTCCAAAACTGGAAATAATAAAAGGTTTATGTTATATCAAATTTTCACAGTAAAATATAATTCTACAACAAAGATCCATAGTAATTAAAATTATGATAATAAAAATCTGCGATCTGCTTCCTAACTACACAAGATTAATTAATGTTTCTATAATTAATGATGTTTCCTAAGGAAGTTTTCCATGATAGAAGCATATGAATATAAGATATACAAACATAAGAATATAAGAATAAAGGATTGACAGCTTACTATTCCCTGAGATGCGCCCATTTATTTCTAAAGTAATCAAACGTGAGTGGTTGTCCAACAATATTGTTGGCGACCGATCCGAAAACTCGGGTGGCATCTTGCTTCCTGATTCCCGAATTTTCCGTAATGGCCCAATCTAAAAATCGATTTAACAGCCATATCTCTCTTGTGCAGGCTAATGCCTGCAAGAGCAGATCCTTCTCCGATCCTACGTTGGTTCCTCGGTATCGTTGCCAAGCAAATTCCCATTCGCTTTGTCCACCCACTCGAATAGCCGTGCAGTAAACCACGCTCTTCAAATTCGGCGAAATTCTAGAACGCAAGTTTTTTTTATCAGTTAAGAAATTACAAGTAAACAATTTTATTAATTATTCTTTAAAAGTAACAAAGAATTTAGAACACAGATTAATATGTCTAACGCCGGCAACATGAATCATGCAACCTGATCACTGCGGTCATCCTATTCATCAAAGAACGCAACAGTGTATCAATGAATAATAATCTCATCTTAAATGATATGATATGATATAATATTCCCACTTACGGATTGTTGACGTCTGGGTTAGGAGTGTTACGCCAATTCTTAAATTGTTGCACGGCGTTCGTAACGCAATTCTCATGATCGAAATTGCACGCCCAATTTAAAACGTCAATTCGGGTGAAAACTGTCAGCTGAGGATCTCCTACTTTGTCAATGAAACCGACTTGCTTGTATACATTATCGAGCAGTTTCAATATGTACAACTAAAAAATATTAAAGATTAAAATAATAAAGTATCATGTATTATTATATATTCCATGCTAATATCATTGATATTAAACATTTAATTGTAAGTATAAGTACTTATTGATATTTCTTACAAATATCTATCAGCGGTATTTATACGTACTCTGAATTTGTCGTAACCTTGGGTCTTGATTAACATATCGTTGAGATAATCCATAGCATTGAAAGCTGCTTTCCAAGGCAAATACTCGATTTCGTGGGCCAAGTAAGACGTGACATCAAAAGCGATAGTATAGTCGAGCTTTCCAGCTTTAGCCAAGTTAAGAGCGTCGTCGATCAATTGCGCTCGATTAATCGTCGAGATATCTTTGAAATTTTGCTCATTTAATTGTTTAATTATCATTTGCCAGTTTGCTCTATCATAGTTCACTCTATAGTACCCTGTTACGGAAACACAATTTATATCATTTAACGTTGTATTTATATTCTCATAACATATCAAAATATAACAAATAAACACCTTCTAAAACATTTATTCAATATATTTCTATAATAAATCTAGAAAAAGTTTACAGGAACATTAATAAAGATAATCAAAATTATTGAATAATTAATGTTCTCGAAAGAAACTATAGAGATAAATAATAAATTACGCATTATGAAAGTATTTTTTATTTTTATCTCAGAGAAATATAGTTCTTTTTTATGAATATTTTTATCAGAATATAATTACCAGTTTCTTGCACGTTAAAAAGTACCCACTGAGACGGGCTTACATCCAAATCGTTAAGGATGACCGAGCGTTCCGCTTTCATCCATTTCGTAGGTCGAGTGCTATTGAAGTTTAATTGCTTCTCGCTCGTATAAGTGATAGGTACCCACCATAATGGTTCCGACTCAGATGTGATCGTCGTGCCGCTATTACGAAGCAGGAAACGTTCCTACGAAAGACGATGAGTATAAATGCAATTATAAATTACTTAAAGCATAAATAATTCGTTAGTCCATTTATTATTCGCTATAATGTAATATTATATACTTTATATTTTTTGTGACGAAATAATATCTGCGTATAATAGAAAAAATATCAAGTGGAACTGTATGTGAATCCAGACATGCTGGCTTCTACTTATTGTTATTTAATAAGCGACACACTTTATTCAATTATTATTTAATTTGTAACTGTCGGCATACCTGTGTCAGCGTAATACTATTGTTGTTGTAGTTTCGTGAAACAGTAACTACAGGAAAGCCGGTTTGCAGGGTCCAAGTATCCATTATTTCTTTAACGGTTACGCTTGGGTCAAGTACCTTATCTTTGTGAGCTTGTTTGGTCAAAGCGTGCCACAAATCATTTTGCTCCGCACTTTGATAGGCTCTGATGGATATACATAAATACCATCAATTATTTTTGCATTATATAAAAATTTGTTTAAAACATTTCATTTATATTTATAATTACGTAAAAATGTTAAGATTTATTATTATTAATTTTAAATCGCTTTACATAGAAATAAGTGCAAGTTTAGGATATTAAATAACTTTTACTCACTTTCCATTCAAATAATTAGTTAGACCTTTCTTGAAAACGTCTGTCGTGAGGAAATGGTCCATCATTCTTATTATAGAAGCACCTGAGCAATTTCAATATGGATATAGTACATTAAATTTGTTTAGGATCGTCATAATTTACATAAATCGCGAAGTACCTTTTCCATAAGAAATCTTGTCAAAGATTTCACCGATTTCATCCGGATGGCCGACCTCAATGGATATAGGATGAGAAGATTCCAAAGCGTCTAAACTGAATACATTTTGAAGATCGTGAACGACGAATTGTTCCAGCGCTTTCCACGTCGGTTCCACCTGCATGTTTCAAGAATATTCACATTACAATATAATAGATACATAAAATATATTCAAAACATTTAACATTTTCTAAATCAATTTCCTAAATTGCCGATTTATCGACACAGCTAGGATTATTCCAGACAACACGCATGTCCTAAATCGAAAACATATGACGTCTTAAAAACGTCATTAAGATATCATATATCCCGATTTGGGACATTGTATATTCACTAGGATAATATCAATTTTGACAATACGTGCAATATGTAACTATGTATCAGTTAAACGACTTACCGCATCCATGCCAATATATTCCATATAACTAGCGAAACCCTCATTCAACCAAAGATCCGTCCACCAACTTGGAGTAACCAAGTTTCCAAACCATTGATGCGCAAGCTCATGAGATACCACAACGGCTACCCGCTGCTTGCTACCACTGGTCGATATACCTTCCTGATACAACATTGCTGTCTCTCTAAATCGACAAAATAACAAATTGATTATTTCCATATCTATAAAATTATTAATGTGTGTTTTTAGCTTTACGTAACGTACCGTAAATTATAACAATACCGGTATCAACTACTTCAAAGAATTTTCTGGCATTTTAAGTACCATGTTTTAAATAATACTCTTGTATATAAACGAGGTCTGTCTTTCTAAGCTTAAGTCAAATCAACAAATAGCAAAATAGATAGATTTAATAAAATTGCTTTAATATTTAGATTAATCGCAAATATTGATTAATAGTTCCTATATTATGAAAAACCTACTTGCAAAGAAATCCGTCCCTGTAATTTTATTAAATAATGTTAAAGTAAAAAATAGAATTTACAGGATAACCATTTTAGTGTTAAACAGACATGTTTATACACAACCAACAAAATAGTATAGGAAAACTGCCTAATAGCGAATTCGGTTGGACGCACCAGTGCGCACTCAGTGCACATTAA